TCCAGCTACCTGGAAGGCTGAGGCAGAAGGATCACCGGAGCCCAGCAGGTTGAGGCAGCGGTGGCCGGGAGCAGCCACTGCACTCCAGTCTGGGCGACAGAGTGAGACTCCAACTCAAAAAAAAAAAAAAGATACAGAAAGTCTTTAATGTGCTAAAGTAATGTAAACATATAATGACTATCCTGAATGCATTATAAATAAATAAATATTATATATATAAATGTCAGAAATTATGTCTGGTAATACAAATAAAACTCAATTCAGAAACGTATATCCTGCAATGGCAGTTTTAGATACACCCAGATTGACCTTGTATCTTTATTGCACGTACCATAGAGTAAGATTTGGGAGAATATCACTTAACTATAAAGGTGACAGATAGATGAAAGCACTTAATGTACAAAATGCATGTTAATTAAAAACAGCAGTCAAGCTCAAAGTAAAGGGCAAATTAGAATTCAGATCCATTTAAGTCATAAAATCCCTAAATTCATTTGAAAATTAGATTGTCAGATCTTTTAGTTTAACAGTTTCTTCTAAGAAAGAAGTTCATTTTCTCTGAAAGACAAGCATTACTCAGAATGCAATTCAGGGAAAGAAAAAGATGAATTCAGAAATTATCCACTTGCCAAAGATTTAAAACTACTGCTGCTAATTTCAGAGATGAATGAAGTTGATTAAGGGGAAGACCTTATGAGAGATTTTAAAGTAGAAAATTATTCTTCAAAAGCCCAAATTATAATAGATTATATGATAAATTATATAATCATATATTACAATAAATCAAAACTCTAGTATGACGTGCAAGTTTCTTCCTGTCCTTAAAAAAATAATCCCTAATTATGAACCAGAATCATTTGTGATTTTCAAAGTAAAAGAATAAATGCATGTATAATCATTAAAGTTTCAGATAAAATAAGAATTGTTAAATACTGCATAGGAAACCAGCATTTTAAATTGTAAAGGCACAGATGCTCAAATCACAGCTTGGTTTTTACAATTTGCCCTACAATTTAACATAATCCACTATTTGCCCAATCCTGGCTTGTACTCAAAATCACTTTATAGTCTGATAAAACAGAGATGATTTGCAATTGCATGTAAGACAGACAATGCACCCCATGAAACTCACTTTCAAAACTGTTATGCTAAAGGACACACATCTCTTCATGCAAGTAGCCACATGAGTTGTGGTGCAGCATAGGTACACACATCCTTAGAGCTTCATAATCCAGGAAACCTACATCTCAGATGGGCAGTAACAGAATGTCACCCTGGAGAGTATGTTCCACCAGGAAAG